GGCTGCCAGGGCTGTGTCTTCCAGGAGAAGCCCCCAGAAGAAAGGGGAGGTCCCCGAGGATGGTCCTGCCTGAGGGGGTCAGAGATTGGGGAGGGGGGGTGAGTGTCAGCCAGGGGGGACTTAGCGAGGGGTCACCCCCCCCATTGGCAGTGGGGTCTCCAGCCTCACCTGCGCTGAAGTCCCAGGCTGCCAGGAGGAGCCCCCAGAGGAGCAGGGAGGTCCCCGATGATGGTCCTGCCTGGGGGGGGTCAGAGATTGGGTTGGGTGAGTGTCAGCCAGGGAGGGTCCCAGCCAGGGGTGACCCCCCCATTGGCAGTTGGGGCTCTGTTCTCACCTGCGCTGAAGTCGCACGGCTGGTCCTGGCGTCGCTTCCCTGCCAAAGAGACCAACAACGTCTGGAGGGGCCCTGCAGGCTCCTCGCCACGGCCACGCTGGGCCACAACGTGCTGTGCTGTGCCACAACGTGCTGTGCTGTGCCATTATCCTCCATCATGCCATATCATGCACCCAGTGGCATGGGCGGACCAACCCAGGGGATGGAGGCACCATCACGAGGGATGGAGGCACCATCACGAGGAACGGAGGGACCGTCACGGGGGATGTCACCTTTCAGCCATTCACAGTTGTACTTGCTGAATGTGCCCGTGGACTCAAGCTGGATGTGGGTTTTCTTCCAACGTTTGGTGATTCTGGTGACCACGAATCTCTCATAGGGCGGGATCAGGACCTCCTCCTCATTGGGGTACATGGAAAAGTGCCTGATGGGGACACCATAGCAGGTGGACACCGAGAAGAAGGTGTCCTTGGAGAATTTCTTGGCAACCGACTTCAAGAAGGAGGTGGAGGTGAATTGGCCAAAGCGGACGAGATCTCGGCGCCGGGCCCTGAAGCGGATGCCCTGGACCCCCCGGTAGACCTGGTAGCACTGGGGGGGCTGGTCTTTCCGCAGGATTCTCAGGGCCTGGGTCAGGAGGAAATGCAGCGTCTTGAAGTGAAATTTGTTCAGGTATTCCTCGCGGGAGCTCCCGTCCTCACGCACGGCTGTGTTGAACTCCTTGTACATGCCTCCAGGCATGGTGTACGCCAGGAGGGCCACCGCATGCTCCGTCCGCAGCGCCGGTGGCTGGGGGACACGAGCCCCCCGGTTCCGCCATTCGGCAGCAGCCTGGGCCCAGTACGTGGCGTAGACGGTGTTGTTGGTGAACTCGGTGTGGTTGAGCTCCCCCAGCTTCTCCTCCATCTTGTGGTCGCAGCCCTGGTACTGGTCATCAAAGGAGGTGGGGGCCATGTCCAGTACCTTCTTCTCAACCCTCTTCAGGTTCAGGGGGTTGCCAGTGGCCAGGGTCCCAGCAAACAGCACCAATCCCAGCACCAGGTGCTCCATGGACATGGACCTGTTGGAAAGGGTCCATTGGAGGGCCATGGAGATGCTCCAATGGCTGGAGCCCCTCTCTTCTGAGGATAGAGGCTGGAGCCCCTCTGCTCTGAGGACAGGGAAAGTTGTGACATGGAAGTATTGACAGTGGTGGCAGATGGGGCATCCATCCCTCCCCACTACCCAGGAGCTACTTGGAGGACTCCCAGTCGGGGTGTGTGGGGGGCAGCACCCTGGTCCCCGCACGGCTGCAGCCCCCTCATGTTCCCCCACGGTTTCTGGGGCTCCTTGGACAAACCCTGGTTACCCACCTGCCGGGAGGAAGGAGCCCAAATCCCTGGAACCTGCTGTGAATTCCCGAGGAGCTTCCCTGCAGCCGCTGCCCCGTCTGGGTCTCACCCTGCCCCGGGGGGAGACGGGCACCCTCGGGGAAGGGGTTATATCTCAGCGGTGGTCGGTGTGATGCTCACAGCTCTTGTGGTCCGTCCTACTGTGCTGACAGCCCCTTCCTCTCTTCCTGGAAGGGACCAGATCTTCTCAGAAAGAGCTGCGGTTGTTCTAAGGGGATGGTTCACTGTGAGAGACTTTGTTTAACCTCCAGTTTAACTTTCATTTTTGGCAATTTTTTGTCCCCCCCCACAACAGAGCTGGTAGGAGGGGACCACCCCCTGCCTCCTGTCCTCTGCACCTGGCGATGGAGAGGGACCATCCAAGTAGATGGAGAGACCATCCCAGGGGTGGAGGAACGGTCCTGAGGATGGAGGAATTGTGCCAGAGGATGGAGGGACCATACTGGGGTATGGAGGGATCATCCTGGGTATGGAGGGACAGTCCCAGAGGATGGAGGGACCATCTCTGGAGATGAAGAGACTGTCCAAGGGGATGGAGAGACCATCCCAGGGGATGGAGAGACCATCAAGGTGGATTGAGGGTCTATCCAGGGGATGGAGGGACCGTCATGGGAGAAGTCACCTTTCAGCCATTCACAGTTGTAGGTGCTGAATGTGTCCCAGGAGTGGAGGTGGATGCAGGCTCTGTCCCCGTGTTTGGTGATGTTGGTGACCTTGAATCTCTCGATGGGTGGGATGAGGACCTCATCCTCGTTGGGGTAGAAGGAGAAGTCTCTGATGGGGATGCTTTAGCAGGTGTACACCGAGAAGAAGGTGTCCTCGCCGAAGTCCAGGGCGCTCTAGTTCTGGAGGGAGGTGGAGGTGAATTGGCTGAAGCGGATGAGATATTGGTGTTGAGCGGTGAAGTGGATGTCATGGATGCCCCATTAGACCTGGTGGCCGTGGCTGGACTAGGCTTTCTGCAGGGTGCTCATGTCCTGGGTCAGGAGGAAATGCAGCAGCACCAATCCCAGCACCCAACGCTCCATGGACATGGACCTGTTGGAAAGGGTCCATCAGAGACCACGGAGATGCTGGGAGGGCTGGAGCCCCTCTGCTGGGAGGGGGGGCTGAGAGTGTTGTGGGGGTTCAGCCTGGAGAAGAGAAGATTCAAGGACTGGAGCATCTCCCTTATGAGGAGAGGCTGAAAGAGCTGGGACTCTTTAGTCTGGAGAAGAGAAGGCTGAGGGGAGACCTTATCAATGCTGACAAGTATCTCAAGGGAGGGTTGGAGGAGGAGGGAGCCAGACTCTTTTCAGTGGTTCCCAGTGAG